TGCCATCCTAGGCTCCAAGGGCCAAGAATGTGAGCCGCTCCCAGCACCCAGATGGAAGCCCACTGCCTCCATCCCAGGCTCCTAGGTCAGTGAAGCTCATCCGGTCCCAGCACCTGGAAGGAAACTCACTGCCTCCATGTCAGGCTCCTAGGCCAGTGCAGCTCAGCCAGTTCCTGGGCCCTTAAGGAAGCTTCCCCTGCTACCATCCCAGGCTCCGAGGACCAAGAAGGTGGGTTGGTCCCAGCACCTGTAAGGAATCTCCCCCCGCCTCCATCCCAGGGTGCTAGGGCAGTGAAGCCCAGCCAGGACGTGCACCCAGAAGGAGTCTCTCCCGCTGCCATCCCAGGTTCCAAGGGCCAAGAAGGTGGACTGATCCCAGCATCCAGAAGGTAGCTCCCTCGCCTGAGTCCCAGGCTCCTAGGGGAGTGAAACTCAGCTGGTTCCAGCACCCAGAAGGAAGCTCCCCTGCTGCCATCCCAAGCTCCAAGCGCACAGAAGGTGAGCTGGGTGGACACTAGAAGCACATCCCCACCCCCCGTGGAAGACACATAAACAAGCCTCAAAAATGGAGTTCCAGATCACCTACAGCAACCCCAAAGGGAAACAAGATGGAACATCCTGATACTCAACCACCTGAACTCTCTAAACTGGCAACAAAAGAGGATCTGGAAAAAATGAAATCAGAAATAATTAGAGAACAGCAAAGATTTTGCTCATGGTGCAAGACATGATTAATAAATCTAGAGAGGACATAGATAAAAAAATAGAGGACCTGAGGAACATAATGGAATCCCAGCATGGGAAACAAATGGATTCCATAAAACAGATACAAATAGATTTCCAAGAGATTAAAAACTCCATTGAAAGTCTGTGCAGCAGAATAAACCAATGTGAGGATAGAATTTCACATGTAGAAGGTAAGATTGCAATTAGTGTGGAATAAAAGAAAAATTGCTTTAAAATTGTAAGGGAACATGAGTAATCAATCCAGCAGCTGCTAGACGATGCAAAGAAGAATAACACAAAACTGGTTGGAGTCAATGAAGAAAGAGGAGAGAGTACAGATGACATAAAAAACTCTTCACAGAAGGGATGACAGAAAACTTCCCAAGGAGAGAAAAAGGACTTGACATACAGATAAGTGAGGCATATAGGACTCCAGCTAACCTTAATCAATAATATCTACACATAGGCATATAATAGGACTCCAGAAATCCAACAGAAGAATAAAATTCTCCAAGCATTGAGAGAAAAGAAACAAATCACATACAAAGGAAAGTCCATCAGAATCACAGCAGACAGTGCAAACCCTCAAAGCAAGAAGAGCTTGGAGTGATGTATTTCAAGCCCTAAAGGAAAACAGCCTCCAACCCAGATTGATGTACCCTGCAAAA